CCCCCGCCCACAGTCCTGGTTTTAAACCACTGAAACACTTCCAAACCGGTTGGTAAATAGCTGTTCCCAGGTGCCTCCTAGCCCTGCACTCCTGCTGCCCTGGCCTCTCTCCAAAGACCCCTGGACCTCCCCACCATCCACAAACTAAAGGGTTAACAAACCCCCGGACCAACAGAAAGCCTCCATCCTAAGTGATCAGTGCTCCCTGCTGAACTGCTTGGTAGATATTTTGACTAGCCTTGCCCACTCCCACTGTGCCCAAGCTCCTTGCCTTCACAGTCTCTGAGTTCAGAGACCCCACGTCCTGCCCCACTGTCTTGGTTTGACTTACCCCCACCCCATCTCCCAAGCAGATCCTGAGACGAGGATTTGAGTAGCACTTGCTTATTTGGGAAGTGGTCCCAGGAAGGACCGCTACGGGGGTGGGGCGTGGGACTGGAAGAGAAGACGGATGGCAGATAAAAGAGAGCAGTAAGGATCAGCTCACCGCTGGGGGCAACCCATGCTTAATCCCCTGGGAGCAATGGGAATCAGAGCAGAACGTGCAGTGTGGAGTTTTCCCAGCCTAGGGGTGCAGTCCCACCAACTCCCTGTCCGTCACTGCTTGAGGGCTGCATTTGGGGGCTTTAACTCTTCTCCATGCCTTGCTCTGCACATGGACTGAGCACAGTCCCAAGACCCAAAAGAACACCCAGGCAGTGGGCAGGCACGTCACTGGTGTTTGAAGTGCGCAGGCGCCTTTGGCGGGTAGAGATGAGCGCCCGGGGACCCGGGCGGGCACCACAAGGGAAGGGGCGTGCGGGCTGTCTGGGTTCTGGTGGGGAAGGGAAACAGTGAAGAGGAGCATCCTTGGCTCCTGTCCTCAGCCTTTCAAAGGTTCAGTGGAGTGGGATCAGCTCCTTTAAGGCTGTCCTAAAGTGCTGTTTCACTTTACCCCGCCCCAGAACCCAAATCCACATATACCCCTGAAAGGTTACCCTGAATGCTTCGGCCTGCCAGCCATGGCACCCCTGATGACCAGTCTGCACTCCAGCTACTTCAGCTTTCCTTCTTGTCACGAGAAGCTTCTGCCAAGACTCCTGTCTCTTGCAGCACAGATTGTCACAAGGTTGTCACCCTGAGGCAATGGCTCAGGGAGACATTCCCCACTCACGGAAGTTTGAAGGGGTTTCCCCATCCCTTCCCCAGAGTCTTGCTCACCTCCCAACTCCCCCACCCAGTCTCGTGTCAGGGACAGCCCTAGTGATGCAGACTTCACGTGGAACAGGGGAGGTGCAGGGAGACCAGGGTCATTGCTGGGCCGTGTGTTCAGCAAGAGAGCTTGAGCGGCCCTTGCTGGTCATTGAGCTCCGGTCCTCCACCCTGGCCCTGTCTGCAGCTGCCGGCTCTTTCTCCCTTGACCACAGCCGTCCATGGCAGGGGGCACACAGCAGGGGGCAGGGGCACAGAGAATAACAGAGACATGGTTGCTGCCTGCAGCTGCTGACCTCAGGGCTGCCTGACCTCAGGACACAGGCCAAGGAAGCTGACTCTTGGCTTATCCAGGCCAGGAGACAGCCTGGTGTGAAAAGAAGGCCTACTCCAGAAGGTTCTGGGCCACACAAAGACCCAGACATCCAGGAGTCCTGTATGAGTACAGTCTTCTTTCTCCATTTGCCCTCCACATCTAGGTCACAAGGACACTGATGATCACCTATGTCCCTACAGACATTGAAGACCCAGAAATCATCATTAAGCATTTTCAGTAAGTGGGTCGGGTGGGCTGAGGTGTGGATTGCCTCCTCCCAGTAACCCAGCCTGGACCCTCATGTGGGGAGTGAGTTGGCACAGGATAGTGGGGCGAGACACACCCTGGGGGGTGGCTTGCCCTGGCCTCGGCTCAGGATCAACCTTTCAGGGTGGGGGAGGCTGTGGGGCCAAAGCAGGGTTTCTGAAGTCAGGGATTTCCTGCATGGCATGGGTGTGATGGGGGATGCTAATTTTCCTTTCCCCAATTGCTCCAGCTACAGAGCCCAGGGAGCTCCTGGACCATAGTTTTCTAGAGCAGGTCATCTTGTGACATCTTTTGTGACCCAAGTTCGTAGCCCCAGGAGCTAACTATCTCTCCATGAGCAGCAATTTCCAGCTGTGCTCCCTGGCCCTGTTCAGGGTCATCTGATAAGGATGTGGTAAATCTCAGATTACCAAGGAGCAACCCTGAAGTTCAGCCTTAGGAGCAGGGGATGGATTCTCCCATCCAAGAACTGAGAACCATGGGAAGCTGAGCCACCCAGCCCTGTGGGCTGTAGCTGTGGGCAGGGGCTGGGGTGGCGCATCCGCAGCCCCACAGGTTGGCTCAGCATCTGTGTTTGTGGCTGCAGCGAGGCCTATCCAGGGTGCGTAGTGACCAGAGTCCACTTCTGCTATGACGTCAGGACCCTGATCGAATTGGATGATCAGAGGTGAGGCTGCGGTGGGGCCCGTCTGGATCTGGGGTGGGATAGAAGGGGAGGAGATGGCTCTGCTGGCCCCTGACCACAAGATCCTTCCCGCACGTTGCCCGCTGGCTGACAGGCGCCACGCGATGCGAGGCCGGCTCTACTACACAGCCAAGGCCAAGAAGAACGGGAAGGTGATGATCAAGACCCACCCCTGCTCCCGCCTGTGCTTCTGCAAGTGCTGGACCTGCTTCAAAGAGGTAACTAGCATAACTGGCATGGGCGCTGGGGGACATGGCAGAGGAGGGGTTGGGGCACTGGGTCTCCAGGCTCTGTCCAGGGTTCTGGGCAGTGCCCCTCACTCACACCCTCGGGCCCCAGGCCCCATTCGGGTCTGTTCCCATGCTGTGGCACCTGGCTCCTCCCTTCCTTTCCACCTATCCTGCCTCCCTGTTGAGCACATAGAGGAGCTGGAGACTCTCTTGGGGCCATCTCCAGAGTGACCCAGGGAGGCTTCCTTTTGCCCCCTTCTTGTCTTGGGTGGGACAACCAGAGAGAACACAATAGGCTGCTGTAGGCCACCAGGCCTCAGGCGTTCAAAGAGCTAGGACAGGAACATCTGAAGGCAGTGGGCTCCATCTTATCACCTAACCACTGTAGCTAGAAGACTTGAACACCTGCTCTGGGGCAGCACTGGACTCTAGTCATCCCTCTTTCCTGAAAATGCTGCAGACACATTCTGTCACTCCCCTGGAATCCACCCCAAGTCCAAAAGCCCCCCTGGCCCCCAACTATGCCTCACTTTCCCCAGATCTAAGAGCAGGGAGCTAACTTTGGAGTCATAGCCTCTTCTTGTTCTAGAGTTGGGATCTTGGTGCCCACCTGGGGTCCTGAGCCCTTTGCCAGGCTTCTAAGGGAGCTAGGGATGGAACCAAGGCCTCAGGCCCACTGCCCCTGGGCTGCTGAGTGGAGAGAGGCCTCGTGTCCAGGCGAGGCCTCCCTGGAGCTCTGGCCTCTCCAGCTCTGAGGACCACATCTCGCCCCAGGTAGATGCGGAGCAATATTATAGTGAGCTGGAGGAGCAGCTGACGGATGAGTTCAATGCTGAGCTCAACCGCGTTCGGCTGAAGCGTCTGGACCTGATCTTTGTCACCTTCCAGGATACCAGGATGACAAAGCGGTGAGTACTAGGGCTAGCAGTTTGCTGCGCCCAGCCCAGCCCCAGGAGTGGGCCTCTGCTTCTCTGAAACCACCCTCTTTCACCCCCATTCCAGTCAAGGGGAGGAGGAGAGAGAGCCTTTTCCAGTTTGCCATATTCTGACCTCCGCTCAACCTTGCCATGCTCCTCCCAGGCAGCCGCCATCTTGCTTTCCAGAGCATGGCCACATCTGTTTTCCCCTAGCTGCCAGGCTCAGCTTGTCTGCAGAGATGCCCAGGCCCTGGGCTCCTCTCTCTCCTATGTCCTTGCTTCAGCACAAAGGTGGTCAGAGTAGCCTTTGACCTCTTGGTTTTTCTTCCAAGACAGGAATGATACACATTTTTCTCCCTCATTACACGTGCCCCTTCTCCTCACCACAAGTGACAGAATCAGGCTAGAGAAGCTCTGCTTGCCGTTTCTCCTCTCCTACTGCAGCTGTCCCCAAGTTCATAGCCTTACAGCCTCCTCTCTCCTCTGCCCCAGCCTCTGGCAGCCCTACCTTGATAGGGACTGGATTAGGTCCACTCTGGAATGTTCTGGAAGAATCCTTAGGACTGGGTCAAATAGGTGAGAGCCCCTGAATCAGTCTCTTGAGGATTGTGGAGGCCCTTCTCTGCCTGAGGGAGCCCGATCACGCACAACACTTTGTCCTCGCCCACCCCAACCCTACAAACGCACAGTGGAACAGCCTAGAATTTAGTTGCAAACAATTGTGTGCAACTTTGCAAAAAGTCATTTACACTCTCAAATTTTTTATCTGTCAAATTTTTCTTCCCTGTCCACCTCCCAGGGTTAAGAAGGGATATGTGTTCTATAAAACACATTTAGTGCACATGTTATATAAAACAATACACCTAATAAGACAATACTCTTTATTTTCTGACTCACTGTCACTTGGTAGAGAGGATCTTAATTACAGCAGAAATGTGAATTGGAAGACCAAAGACGAGGCTCCAGTGCCAGGACCTGCCCCTCACTGGTTGTGTCTTCAGGCACCTCCATTTAGTAATCTGTACAGTTGGGATTATATTAATTGCCACTTAGCACAGTGTCGGGCACACACAAAGAACTCAATCATTGGTAGCTATTAATGTTAAGAGGAGGCTGAAATTAGTGCTCCCCTATCAACCTCAAAGAAAGAGCATGTCTTTGTGCTATCACTGCTGTTAAGGGGAAAAGACATTAACTGAGAACTGTGTGGTCCCCTGCCTTCCTGGGCAGTCCCTCCCTCTAATGCTCCAGGGACTAGGCCTTAGGAACAGCCCACCTCTAAGGTCCTGGCTTATCCAAGCCTTCAAGAATCCCCAGGAAGTGGATGAGCCCCCACTGTGGGATGGCCATGGTGGCCCTGGGACCCTGGCATGGACCCCCTCAGCCAGTCATCCTCACCCCCAGAACTCTGTCTCCTCCCCCTATCTCCGCAGCATCCAGGATGATTACAAATACATCCAGTGTGGTGTGCCCCCCCAGCAGTCCTCGGTGACCACCATCGTCAAATCCTACTACTGGAGGATCGCCCTCGCCCCACACCCCAAAGATATTATTTGGTAAGCCCCCTCTGTCCCTCCCCTCTCCTTTGAGCTCCTTTGAGACTGAAGAAGGCAACAGGGCAGAAAAGGAATTGGGGCCTGTTCTCCAATTCATTGCCCACATGTGGCTTCCGCTGGGCTGGGCCACGTCCTCTCCTAGCACCACAGCCTCTGCCCATCCCCAAGCCTGCCCCACCACAAGCGTGGAAGGCACCCAACCCTTGGGGAAAAGGTTTCCCTGCAGAAAGATCTCACGTCAATTTTTTGGCTCACCTATGGGATATATTCAGAGCCCTTACAAATGGTATGACTGAGGGAAAGGTCCAGGGCCTGTTGCATGTAGGTCTGGGCCCACAGGGCTGAATTAGACCAGGGCAGCCTGGGTCCACGGCTGGCATGCAGGAAACAGCACGTGGGCTTTGTCTCAGAGCTGGGACCTGAGGTCCTATGTGCATCTCCCTCCTCCATCCTTCCCCAGGAAGCACCTGTCTGTCCGCCGCTTCCATTGGTGGGCCCGCTTTATTGCAATCAACACCTTCCTCTTCTTCCTCTTCTTCTTCCTCACCACGCCTGCCATCATCATCAACACTATCGACATGTACAACGTCACCCGCCCCATCGAGAAGATGCAGGTGCCTCCTCTGCTCAGGCCAGGCGTGGGGGCCCCAGGGAGATGAAGGAAGAACTCAGGCGAGGATGGGATGGGGGGCCCACGGGGACGTGGCTCCAGAGCCATGTAATTAAACATGGAGGAGGTGGCGGCGGTGTAAATGGTGGCGTAGAGTTTCCTTTCTTCTAAAGGGGATGAATGCGGGCGTTGCCCATCTTAGGGACTGGGGCTGGAGAGGAAAGGGAGAGTGGAGGGCTGCAGGCAGGTTCTGGGGTGTGTTTGGGGGGGATGGGTGGTCCAGTCAAGTGTGGGCTGGGAGGGCTTCTTTAGATTGGGTCACCCTAGGCCAGCTAGAGCTACAAAAGGTGCAGCAGAGGGTGTGGCAAGTGTGACAGCTTTGTTCTCCCCACCTTCTGTAGAGTTGGGGGTCCCTAGGTTGAGGGATAGGGTTGAGAGTGGGGAAGAGAAAGGTAAGTTCCAACACAGCTCTCCAAGAGAAGTGGGACCTCCAGAGCTGTCTCCACTTCCCTCACTTCCAGACACACCCACTCCAGGCTGGGAGCGCTCGGCCCTGCAGGAGCTGTCCCTGAAGGGAGAGGATGCTTCACACTGACGGGGGAGTTCAGAGGAACTGAACTGGCCCATTTCCAAATTGTACAACCTCACGCCTATTATAATGGGCGCCGAAGGCCCCTCCTTCCGTATTATCCCCATCCCTATTCCAGCACCACACACACACACACACACACGCACGCACACACACGCACACACGCATACACACCACTTCTGCTGCTTACTTTTGCCCTCCTGTGTCAGCTTCACAATAGGCCCCAGGCAGGAGCACCGCACCACAGCTCCCTGGGGATTCTTCCTTCACATCTTCCCCCATTTCCGCCACTTCTCACACATCACGATAAAGGCAGTGTCATCTCCCTGAGGTATGAAACATGAGTGACAGCAGTGGGCTCTGGCCTTAAGGTGAACTCACTGGGGGAAGCCCAGGCTGTTCCCCCAGTGACCTCAGCATAGAAGGCCTGTGCCCCTCGGGGATGCCACTTGACCTTGGGGTATCAGCCTCTGCCCGCCCCTAGCCAGGCAGACCTCTGACCCAGGAAGACGGGCGAGAAATGCCAGGCCCACTGCGCAGCCTCAGGGAAACCGGCCTGCTCTGGGACTGAGCTGGAGGAGAAGAGGCCAGGGGTATGGGAGAAGGCAGGGGTGGCCTAGAAGGGGCAGGGGTGCTTCTTGCATTGATGTCTCTCTCTCCTCCTCTGCTCCGCCCCTACAGAACCCCATCGTGACCCAGTTCTTCCCCTCCCTGATGCTGTGGGCCTTTACAGTGATATTGCCTCTGATTGTCTACCTCTCTGCCTTCCTCGAGGCCCACTGGACCAAGTGAGCTGCTCTTCACCCAGCCCTTCCCCTGCCCAGCCTGGTGCTCGGGGCTCCCATCTGGCATAAGGAATGGAAGTGATATGGGATGGCTTTGATACCCGAAACCATCCCGAGAGAGGGGACCGGGTTGTCTCTGGGCTTCTGGCCTCAGGGATGCTGAGATGGGGCCAAAACCAAGCTCTCCTTTGAGTGCTTCCTCAGCCTGCAGCCATGCACTGAGAGGATGGAGCTGCAGGCAGAGGTAGGCAGTGCCAGGAACTCCAGGCAGAGGGCACTGGATGAGAGGAAGAGAGCAGGACTTGTCTGGAGAACATCGAGAAGGCTGCTTTGGCTGCAGCAGAGGAGCCATGAACTCAATCTGACTGTAGACCCAAGTAGCCCACACAGTGCCCCCATTTTAAACAATCAGGAGCAATTTCCCATGTTAGCCCTGACAGGTCCATGGTGGTAGCTATTTGGGTAGAAAGTATTTGTCATATCCTTGGGCAGGTGGACTTGCTTCGGCCTGAAGGCTGCATGGGTCTCAAAAATTATTTCCTGCACCAAAATTTCTACCATCCTACCAGGCAGTAAGCCAGGAGGTTTGTCCTCACAGAAATCCTTACTGTTTTTTCCTCTGGCCAAGGACAGGGACTTTTGTTGATTATTGAAACTCTGCAGGCATTCTGAATATCATTGGTAATGTCCCTTTAACAGAGATGTCAAATATATGGCACATTTGTCCCCTCCCTCCCCTTCCTGTGCCCAGGGCAGACATCACTAGTTGATCATGCTGTTCTTTCCTGCTGCTCTCCGCCTCAGCACAGCTCACAGTGCTCCACGGAGATGGCATTGGTTTGCACTATTAAACCAATTTTCTAAGCCAAAGTGGCTGTCTCTCTCTGCTTCTTCATTCTGTAGTTAGGCTTTTGGTTCTTATCATGTCTCCCTCTGTTTCCTTCTAGATCAAGTCAGAATCTGATCATAGTGCACAAGTGCTACATCTTTCTGGTGTTCATGGTGGTCATTCTGCCCTCTATGGGACTGACCAGGTACCTCACCTCGTTATCCCTCCTCTCAGCCAGGCTCCCCCTAGAGTTGGAACCTCCTCTTTCAGATACCGTAGGCCTACCTGTGGTTGCTGCAAAGCCATTCCTCAAATGACAGTCCAGTGCCTGTCATGAGCCTAGCATGACCCAGGTATCACGCGAACGCTAAGTGTCAGCCATGAACTCTGCCCTCAAAGAGCTTATCATCCAGCTGGGGAGACAAGGCATGCCCACCAGCTAACTGACAGCCCAAGGCGGGGAATACGCAGCCAAGGTGCAGTAGAAATTCAGAAGAGGGAAAGAGCACTGGGAGAAATGGCTGGCGAAGGTTTGCTGGACGAAGTGGCCTTGAGCTGAAAGGCCAAAAAGTTAGGGGCAGGGGTGGCCCAGCATTAAGAAGGAGGAGAGGCAGTGTGGACGGGCCAGCTGGAATGTTAGAATGCAGGAGTCTTTGGTGATTGGGCAAAGGATGGAAGGAGGGAAGCCAGGCCAAGAGGAATTGAACCCCAGGCCTTAGCTTATAAATTCATTAACTGAAGGGCATGCCTTGTTCTCACTTCTAGTTTGGATGTCTTTCTCCGCTGGCTCTTTGACATCTACTATCTGGACCAGGCTGCCATCAGGTTCCAGTGAGTACTAGAGAGCATGTTCCAGGTGTACCCCCAATGTATACTGGGGCTTCTGTGGGCTCACACCAGGTGGATATGTGTATCCTTTATCTGCTCACACAGGTAGAGATGAATGCATGTAAACACTCCATTAGGCAGCCTCTTCACCTTTCCTGTGCCAGATTGCCCCTTTGGCAATCTGGTAAAGCCCAGGACCCCTTCTCTGAATGAAGTTTTTGAAATAACTGTAAATTCACAGGAAATTGCCCCAAAAATGTCCTGTGTACCCTCCATCCAGTTTCCCCCACTGGTAACATCTTACATAACTATAGCACAATATCACAACCAGGAAACTGACACTGATACAATCCACAGAGCTTATTCAGATGTTGCCAGTTTTACATATACTCTGAGTAGAGGTCTTTAAACGTGCAAAATACGTGGATTACAAAGAAAACCAATTATACTGAAATATAGTTATCAAAATATTTTAAAAATCAAACTTGTAACAATCTTTATTAACACATTTAATAACAGGACAATGCATTTTAAATCTAGGCAAGCTAAAGTTACATTTTATTGTTTTAAAGACATCATTGTGAAAACTGATGTTACTTAGCTAAAAGAAGAATATTAAATTGGAGCAGTTGGGAAGACCTTTGACAAGGCAACGTGCAGGTCGTGTTGACAACCAGCCAATTTCAATTTTTTGGTTTTTAGGGTAACCAGTGTTGGAAACCTAGTTTTCAAAGATGTAATGTTGCAAACAACACGCAAGATTTCATAGCTTGCTTTATAGGGCAAGGACCAGAATGCTTCAAGGTTTCTGCAGTCAACTATAATTGTAATAAGTTGATTTTTCTGTTTCCTCCAAGATGAATGGGTTCATCTTTGGCTAGGTCAATGTCTTCAACGCTGTTAATATATGAGAAAGGAAAGAATTGTGAGTCCATGGCTCAGCTTTGATGCCATCAAGAAAGAATAGTTTTTGAAGGAGTTCTGGAATATGTCCAGGGGCTCACAGATTTCTCTTTCCATGGAAGTTGAAAGAATTGTGTAGATGGGGACACTGGGAAGCAACAGAGATGTCCGGGTCCCTAATGTGAGAACAGGCAGCTTGGCCATTAGGCGGCTGAATGACTCCTAGTGGAAGTTGCAGATACATAAAATACAGGTCTGCAGATAGGAAAATGTCAATCATATGTAATAACCACCATCAATTTGAAGTGATGAGCCCAAATGATCATCAGCAATAGACGTCAGCAATAACTACATCTGACTTCAATTGGTGACGGACGCACAGCCACGGCTGACACTGCTGTGGTTTGATGCCCACGTTCTTAATTGAAGGAAATGCTAAATTGTAGTTAGAGGTTAGTGAAAATAAAGATATATTTTTTGCCCTGTTCAAGGTCACATATCCCCAAAATTGTACTCATGGGCTCTCCAGGGTCTGGAGACCCAGGTCAAACACCCTGCTTTAGATCAGGCCAGTGTATGGTATCTCCTAACACATCCACACTTTATGTAGACCATCCCCATCCCTGCTCAAAGGGCCGCTTGTTAAACTGGGCTGGGAGCACACATATATATGAAACTTATTCCCCTGTCTCTACCTCCATCCCTCGTCCCCACTCCCTCGGTTCCTTTCCTCTCTCTCTCTCTCCTCCTCCCTCCCAAATCTCTGCTCTTTCCCTCTCCCCCGGCTTCTGTGGCTGTCTTCCATTCTCCCTCCCCCGCCCCACACGCAGGTGTGTGTTCCTGCCAGATAATGGCGCCTTCTTCGTCAACTACGTGATCACGGCAGCTTTGCTAGGCACAGGCATGGATCTATTGCGCCTGGGGTCTCTCTTCCTGTACAGCACCCGCCTCTTCTTCTCCAGGTCGGAGCCAGAGAGAGTCCACATCAGAAAGGTGAGGGCCAGGCGCTTCCCTGAGCACAGGCCTGGAAGTTTCCCTGGGAGGGTGTCAGGAAGGGAGCCTGCTGGAAGCACTGAGGGCCCTGAGTTGGGAGGCATGGTGCAGCAGGGTGGGTAGGTCTTGGATGCCAGGGTTGGAAGGAAGGCTGCCTCCAGGCCTAAGCTGCCCCCCAGCTCCCAGGGGATGAACAAGGAGCCACAGAAGCAACCAAGTCAAGGGACCAGGCCACCTTGGGGTAACCCCTGCCTTCTGCCCCAGAACCAGGCCATCGATTTCCAGTTTGGGCGAGAGTATGCATGGATGTTGAACGTCTTCAGCGTGGTCGTGGCATACAGCATCACCTGCCCTATCATTGTCCCTTTCGGTGAGTCATCCCTGAGGCCACCCAGGGCTTCACACCCTCCAACTGGGAGGAGTTGTTGATCCCCACAACATCAGGCCACCTCCTGGAGCGTGAGGAAGCCTGGGACAGATTGTTAGCAGGGTGGGGAGGTGCCAGGGCCAGGGCCAGGTCAGGGGGGCTCAGGTTGGATGGCTGTGTACATAGGATGTTTGTTGAGTGAATGCGTCTTCACCAAACTGGCAGAGTAGGATCTAGGGGCTCAAGGTAATCTACTGGTCTCAGAGGTTGGCACCACAGGGCACCCACAGCCTTGGCCCTTGCTGCTCTGACAGACCTGAATCTGGCTTCTCAGGCCTGTGGGGGCCTTGGGACAGCACAGGTCCTGACTGTGGAAGCAGCCACTGAGTGTGCCTCCATCTTCCGGCCCCCCAGGGCTGCTCTACCTGTGCATGAAGCACATCACGGACCGCTATAACATGTACTACTCCTACGCACCCACCAAGCTCAACGAGCAGATCCACATGGCCGCTGTCTACCAGGCTATCTTTGCGCCACTCCTGGGTCTGTTCTGGATGCTGTTCTTCTCCATCCTACGATTAGGTAGGTACCAAGCTGGCCTGGCCACGGCCTCTGCCTGTCCCCACTGCTCTGTAAACCCCTCAACAACTCTGTCAGAGCATAAAAAGCCGGGGAGGAGCAAGGTGCTGCTCATCGAGCATGGCCGAGCCCAGTGGCTTCTCTAGGCCTAGAGGGCTTGTATTAGAGACTCAGCAGACCTTTGAAGCTAAGAGGAGGGCTTGGACCAACGTGGTCCAAATGGTGTGCATTGTGGTTTATAACCCTCAGGACAAGAAACATCGTGCTCCTTCATTCTAACTCGAGGCAGGCAGGAAATAAAATATTAGCTAACAGACTCAATTCCCATGACATTCCCCCTGGGATCCTAGAAGATGCCTGGTCTCATGGGCTGCCAAAACCTGGAGGGGGATGCCGAGTATGTCCCAGCGGCCAGCGTTTCCCCTAGTCTTGGCTGCACAAAGCTGCTGTCTCTGCCCAGGCGAGCTCAGAGACACCCTCACAGTGGAAGTCCCCACAGGCCACAGACCGGAATCCCCTCTGAGGCAAGAAGCTCACACTGACCTCCCCATCCTCCCTCCTCCCCCTAGACTGTTTTCTGTCTCCCCCACACACACTGGCCTTCCCTCAGGGACATTGACCTTAACCTTCTCAGAGGAGTGGAGAAGGGAAAGTCTGTATTTTCTTATTCTCCCTGTCACAATGGCCTCTGTCAACAGTCAGCTCTCTGTTATTTGTGTGCATTATCTATTTGTTGACATCCCCAATTTCTTATCTCCTCAGCCTTCCCCTGCCACCTGGCAGACTTCATTTTTTTTTTATCATGCTTTCTTCTTGGTATAAAGGACTACGTGTTTATTATCAAAAACAGGAAAAATTGAAAGATCAAAATTTGAATGACCCATCCTCTCACCCAGAGCCTGATGTCTTTTGCTCCCAGACCTCATTCTGTGCATTTGTTTTGGGGGAGGGGGCAAAGCAGGGGAGAGTTTATTGATTTATCATTACTTTACAAAATTGTGATATCCATTTTATGACATTCAGTCCTGTATCCTGAGTTTCTTCACTGAACATTATGTTCTGAGCAACTTCCTGTGTTATTAAAATACTATTTGAGCCCATGCCTTTTAACGGCTGCACTAAATTCCGTCCATTTTAGTCAGTTCTCCACTGTTGGATAGTGAGGTTTACCATTTTTTGCTATTATAAAAACACAACGCTAAGCATCGTTATTCAGTAACCTCTGACTATCAAGACTGATTTTTAGTATTACCTAGTTAGACGACTACTGCCATGAAAAAGTTACCAAACATCCCCAAATGAAATGTAAATTGATGTTTAAATTCTGGATTGCTTTTCAGTGCCATTAGCACAGATAACAGAGCATGCTCACTTCAGAAGGGCTTACAAGGCAAAGTGTGGGTCCAAGATTGTATTTTGGGGCAGTGGCATAAATAAGTAACTCAAAGGTACTTCCCAGGGACCGTGAGATGGGAGGTTAACTGATGGGTCAAGAAGGACATGTTTAGTGGGCACTTAACTGGATATTTAAGTCAATTAAAATTTTTTTTCATGGAAGCCACAAGATGCCAAATTCTAAACTGGTCAAATAGAACAGATGGATAATATCATTGTGTCAGGCTCATTGATCCCAGTTGTTAGGAGCAGAATTGGGCAAGGCCCTCTGCCCCAGGCTCTAAGCCCCTCCAGAGGTGCTGAGGTGGTCCCCAGGCATCTGTCAGTCCGAGTGGCATCTCAGCTGGCAGACTCCTACCCATAGCTCCAGTCCTCGAGCACCAAGCCCCACAGCCTTTTCTTCTCCTTGGCAGGTCCGCTCCACACCATCACCTTGTTTTCCCTCTCCACTCTTATCGTTTCCGTGATAATTGCCTTCCTTGGCACTCTTCTGGGGAAGCTTCGGAGGGCATCTGACTATGAGGTGAGTTGCCAGCCTGCCTTTCCTCCACTGGTTATCCCTGGCCCCTGGGGGACACAGCTCTGGGACAACCTTCTGACCTGGGCACCTACCGCAACATGGAGCTGAAAGGTTCTTGCCTTTCTCTCTGGTTATGAGGTGTGCAAACTTAGTGTGCATGTGTGTGCCTGTGTGTGTGTCCTTGCACTGGCCCCCAGAATGACACTTCACGGGGTGGGGAAATTAAGAAGACAGCTGTCCTCTCCTCTTCCCCCCTCTGACACCTCCTCCAAACAGCAGGCTGCCAGCTCATCCTCCTACGACGTGAGCTTGTCCAGCCACTGAGCTGTGAGCACCATTCCAAGGGGTGGAGGGTTGAGAGAGAAGACAGATGAAAGAGTGAAGGGTGGGGGTGGTAAAGGATGATGACCTGGGATGGAGGGATAGTCATCACACTTTTAAAAATCCCAGGATATTGAACTTGAGGCTGTCTGGAGGGGAGGCATGGCTCTCTGGGCACCATACCTCTTTCAGGTCTTTGCCAGTGGGGCCCAGCCAATTATTGGAGAGGGGAGCCAATCCATGCCCACTGAGAGCCATGCCACTAATGCTGTGTGCTCTAGATCAGCATTTCCCAAAGTGGGGTGTCTGTACAGGCATACCAGAATGATTTCCAGTGGACTATAACATTATTTTTTATTTTTCATGGTTACACATTTATTTTTCTAGTTAACCTTCTGCTTATGGCAACTGACACAGATTTTCTGTTTATAATAATGAATTGTTTCCTTTTTAAATAAATTTATATAAAGAAAAGAAAGTTGATTTAAAGCACTAGCATCCTGCTGAGTCAGAGGAGGCTGCCTCTTGGAAAAGGATCTTCTTGCTTCTAGTGGCCCCGTATCTGGGGCCCTGAGCACAGGTGCCCACTGCCCTCTCTAGCTGTCCCCCCTCCTCCATCCCTTGGCCTGAGTGCCATGCTAGTGAAGGACCAGAGTGAACAACACCTCTGGCTCTGTCTTCCCAATACAACCATGTCATGTGATCTGGTTGCCCAAGTGTCCACTCTAGAGAAGGAAGATGACAGGGGATCGAGACCGTATTGCTTTAGGGAACCTAGACCCTTATCTTGTTCCTGAGATAGAGGGGAAATTCCGGGAGGAAAGAAGAAAGAGTTGAAGTCAAAGCTTTTCCTAGAGTTAAAGCAGGCTCATCTTTGAACCCCAATCCCAACCCTGCTTACTTCTTCCCATTATGGTCCTTGGGAATGGAACATTCCAGAGGATTCTCCTTAGTATCCCAGTCCTCTCTCTGTGCCCCTGGGCTTCTGCCTTACCAGCTGGGCTGCAGGTATGGAAAAACTAAAGATGAATTGAGTTTAAGGGGAGCAAGGGGCCCAGGTGCAGGGTCCAGGCTCCTCTGGATGTGGAGAGGGAGGGGGCAAAGGGCAGACACCCCCATTCTGTGACCTCCCCATCTCTCCCCCATGCTGCAGCCCGAGGAGGAGATGGAGACCGTGTATGACATGGAGCCAAGCAGCACCTCCTCCACACCCACCTCCCTTGTGAGTCAGTGTCTTCACCCTGGGGGACAGGTCAGGAGGGAGGTGCCTACAGGGGTGGGCTACTCCAGCAGCGTTGTGGGGGGCACCAGCATGTAGTGCACACCCTGGGTATTGGGAGGAGATGGGGCCTCTGGGCTCCCTCCTCTGATGCAGCAGGACTTGGCCCAGGTTACATTGCTGCCGTGGCCCTGGCTGAAGGGCCGGGAAGATAGAAGATCCAAGATTTCCCCGACAGACTCTAGAAGGATCTCAGAGAGGAAGAGAAGTGTCAGGGTGAACCCAGCCACAGCGAGCTCAGTCGTGTAGACGCAGGGACATGCTGGGGCTCGGCCTCAGGACCGAAGGCTGCCTCCAAGGGCACAGGTGCCAGGCAGAGCGACGCAGACAGAGCTGCAGGGAGCTATTGGAGGTCTGCACTAAATGGTAAGGCAGGGGCCACGCCGGATGTGTGAGCCTGTCAGCAGGTGAAGAGACGAGGCAGGACTCAGACTGCAGGGGTCCAGCAGGCTGGGAGTTGGCTCCCACACCATGGCTCAGCCTGGAAGGGCACGAGCACTCGCCCACATCCCAGCCACAAGCGTGGATCCAGGGCCACTGATGCGTGCACTGAGCTGGGTACCGGGTCGGCCCATGTCCCGCTGCCAGGGCGCCTTGGAGGAGCACTGAAGAAGGGCACCAGCCAGCCTACGCACTCAGGGAAGGCTTCCCAGAGGAGGGGACATCTAATCCGACTCCAAGAATGGGAGTAGGGGTTGCCAGGTGGAATAGGGTGTGGGGGAACAGCATTCGAGGAAGAGGATCAGCCTGTGTAAAGGCCCAGAAGAGAGAATCTGGAGTGTTTGGGGAACCGAAAACAGTTTGTGCCCTGGTGGAAATGCAGAGTGGGTGGCAGGGCCCAGTGAGAGAGGAGGCTGAGTTGGGTGAAAGTACATAGACACAACAGTGGGTGGACATGCCCACTCTCGGTGCACTGAACTACAGGTCTGCCTCACTCTGAAAAAACCATACATAGAGGAACAAATTGTCTCTGGGAGGTGGCAGGGGAGAAGGAGCTTCAGTACTGGAGAAACTACAAAGGTTTCAAAGCAGGAAAGTCTCTCTTCACATAGCATCTCCCCTGGGGCCCGTCCAAGATGACCCCTCTGGAATATTGTTAGCAATCAGTTATTGAAATCTTCTTAGGAACCTGAGCACTTTGTCATTCTCACCCTTGATCTTTATGATAAACTCACACAGTAGGTGTGTTTATCCTCATATTACTGATGGGGAAACTGAGGCTCAAAAAGGTCAATAAATTTAGACCCCAGGGCACTACTGAGCAAGGAAGAGGCAAAGCAAAGTTTGAAGCAGATCTCTCTGACTCTAAAGCCTGAGCTTAAAAACAAAATTACTGGGATGGATTTTTTTAATCTTTCATTATTACAACAGTGGTATATGAATACTGTAGATCATTATGGTGAAAAAACAGATAAGCAAAAATAAGAAAATAAAAAGTCCATATTCTCACCACCCAGAGATGACCACGGATACCTTAGTGTATATTCTTTCAGGCATATATATAATTTTTGGTAAAATGAAATAATACTGCATACTGTTATATAACCTGCATTTTTTAGCTAACAATCTTCATCTTTCCGTATATATAAATTTTTACCTCTTCGAATACCCAATCCATATTCAAATTGCCCTAAGTGTTCCAGAAATATCTTTTACAGCTTGTCCAAACCAAAGTCAAGTCCAGGCTCTGTGCTAGATTAATCTGGCACCTGTGCATGTCCCTATAATTCTAGCATCATCTCTTTGTTATGACTTATTGGAGAGACCAAGCCAGTAGTCCTGAAGAATGTCCCATCTTCTGGATTTTTCTGGCTGTTTCTTCATGATGACTTACAGCAGCTTCCACCATCTCCTGTATTTCTTGAAAATTAGAAGTTAGATCCAAAGTTTTGATAGATTCAAGTTCAACACTAGGGGCTAGCACACCTTGCAGGCAGTGCTGTGCATGACACCAGGAGATACATAATACCCCACTTATTCCCATTAGTGATGCTAAAGTGACTCCCTGATTCGGGGGATGACAGCTGGCTTCTTCCCTTGTTCAGTTACCATTTTTCCCCTTACGACCAAAAGGTCATCTATGGGGTTTACTTTGGCCTTATGCAACTGTCTAGATTCTTCTGTGGGAAAAGTGTTCCCTCATCAATGAAGGCTGCTTGGTTTCACTGAAATGAATTCCTAGAGGAAAGGTTTAATTCTATTCCATAATTACCTATTTTCAAAATAAAGAGTTGGCTTAAAAGCCACTTCAAAAGATGACAAACAGTCCTGTCCCTAGTCCTTCTGTGTCTTTCTATTCTGCTGCCCTCCCAGGCATTCCTGGAATCTGTCTTCGATTTGACAGGTCACATGACCAAGACCTCAGAGCGCAGTCTCAGTTTCAAATCCTGATTCACAGGCCAACCAATGACACAGCCCGAGGGAGTTGTGGATGCACCTCTGAAGCTGTATTAGAAAGTGCACTAGCTCAGGAATGGGGGTCTCTCCAGACCCCAGAGTAAGGGAGCCTTGTGTCATCTCCCCTGGGTTCAGCCTGACATGGAACCAAGAATGAATGGAAGATGTGCTGAAGGAACAGGGGGCTAGGAGTTAGGAGACCTGCACTAATTAGCTCTAGGAGCTCAGAAATGCTCATTAAATGATCAGGAGCACCTGGGCGGGTGGGCTGGCTAGGACTCCAGTGGCTGGGGAAGAAGGAAGGATCCGTGGCTTAGAGCGGCAGAGGCTCTAGAGGTGGGCATGAGGGGAAAGGGTATGGCCCAGATGTGACCTCGCCCCTGTCTCCCCTCTCTGTCCCGAGCAGCTGTACGTGGCCACCGTGCTACAGGAGCCAGAGATGAACCTGACTCCAGCCTCCTCCCCGGCCCGGCACACCTACGGCACCATGAACAGACAGCCGGAAGAGGGAGAAGAAGAGAGTGGTGTGAGGGGCTTTGCAAGGGAGCTAGAGTCAGCCCAGTTCCAGGAAGGGCTGGAACTGGAGGGCCAGAGCCAGTACCAGTGACCAGGACCCGAGGCCTCCACCTGGCGACTCCAGTTGGGAGTGGCGGCCAGGGAAGGGCCCGGCAGAGGGAAGCAGGAGGGCAGCCCGGACCTCCCCACTACCTCCTGCAGACTTTGGGAAGGCCCCAGCGGAAACATTTACCACCCTGGCTATTGGCTGCATGGAGGCCCCGACCTGCTGACCAGCTAGAACGGGAGGTGCTGGGCAGTGCACAGGGACCCCGGGATGGGATGGAGGATACAGGCAAGCAGCACATCTTAGGAGAGGTAGCTGAAGCCCTCGGCACAGAGACTGAAGGCTGGGGGGCCCTTCTTGGGGTCAGGATGGAGAAGATGTGCTTAAGGGAGGAGCAGAAAGAAGACCATCGAAGACTCTCTGGGGTCTTCACCACCCTTCCACCAGCTGCCGTGCCAGGGAGCTTCTGCTGCTGCTCTTACCCCTCCCTCCACCACCACTCCTGGCCCATCCCTCCCCTGCAGTCTGAGGAAGCAAAGGTATGTGTGCTGGGCCTCATTGATAAGACCCAGATGACCGCCTCATCCAGGTTTCCCTGCATGAGGGTTGAAAAGAGAAAGTTTCTGTGCCACCTGGGGCAAGGGGCAGCTAAGACCATAGGCCTGAGAGGAGGTGACTGAAGCCCTTCCTTTTCTTCTGCCCCTCATCAGGTGTCCCCAGGAGTAGGGTAGAGGCCCTACTCCTTTCTATTCTTGCAAGGGTAGCTGGGACATGGTCACTCGGGGCTCATTAAACGGGACCTGTGTGCATTTTGATGAAGGCAACCTCGGCTGGTTACTATAAGGTGGGAGGGGCAGAGGCAGAATTCATGGGGTGGGGGTCTTCTCCCAAAACACTGAGTGACGGGAAACCAGATATACCTCCCCATGCCCCAGGGCCTAATGAGAGGGCCCCAAGGTCAAGGATGTGGCCACTCAGAGCTGCCCCTGCCCCATACCCACCTAAGTGCCTGAGCCCCAATGTGACCAAGGGGGGGTGACAGCTTAGGGTAGGAAGCCCATGCTTTGAACTAAAGGTACTGGCCATTCCCTAGCCTCCAAGTAGGACCCTTCCTCTCCTCTTGGGGGCCTCTCTACACCCTGGACTGAAGACCATTCAAGTGGCCTCCAGCGTGGTTCTGACTCAGATACGCTGCTGGGGGTGGGGCGGGGCGGGGGTGGGGCCTACACCCTCCGTGGAGAGGCCCTTTCTGGCAGAGTAAGTCTGGCCTCTCAGGGCTGCCACCACCGGAGGCCTGGAGGAGCCAAATCCTGAGTAGGAACAATGCTGGTGACACCCAGCACCTTTGCCACAGGCAGGGGGGTGCAGGCCTCTGCCTCTGGGGACAGGCCCCCATCAGGACCACCAGGCAGCCCCGCGGGGGAGGACACAGAGAAGGGCCGGCTGGGGCCTCATGGACCAGAATGAGCCAAGTCGAATGGGGTCTGCGTGCTCTAGAGCTCTTCTGAGCTCCCTCCTCCAAAGGTCTGGGTCCCTGCAGCCAAGCTGCTGAAGGTGGGCCCCAGGCTCACCTCACCTGGGCGTTTCCCAGCGGGTCGCAGACACATGGGTGCCCCTGATCTCAGATCACCTGGGCCTCGTCCCTGCTCCACCCTTGCCCACATCCCAGCTCCAGAAGCTCCAGGCTTCACCCTAGATGAAAATAGTGCTCGAGGGGTAAACATTGCCATCCTCCCAGGGTTTGGCCTAGACTTTGGCATGAAGGATCTTTCCAGAGAGCTTGAGTCAGCTGGGGAGGAGGCAGTCTCTCCCACTCCTTGTCCAGCTAAGAATAAGGAGGAAATTATACCCAGCCAGTCCCTCATTAACCCTGGCCCTAGCCTTTCACCAGCCAACAAGAGGAAGGGTCTTTTCTAGAGCAGAGTGGTCAGGGGTCCAGCAGGGAGCTCCAGGCCCAGCCCGACCCCCAGAATGTGCACGTGGTGTGTGGTGGGGAGAGTTCTGCCAGGAGCTGGCCTGCAGGCTCTCTCTCGCTGGGCACTACTTGCTGGCACCTCCCCCGGTCTCTGCAGCCCCCGCTGGACTGTTCCTGCTGCTTCCACCACCGTCCCTCCTCTGTCCTCCCCCTGCCCACCTGGCAGCCTGTGGAAGCTGCATATGGAAAGGGACGCAGTGGATGACATGGCAGCATGGCTGGGCGGGCTTCCCCCTCTGAAGTTGGGTCCAGTGCAGTCTGGTTCTGAGAGAAAGTGGTGCGACTATTGGGAAACTTCCAGAGTCCACTCACTTCTCTACTCTTTCTGGAGACCCAGGGCAACTGGCAAGGCCCCACCACAGCCGTTTGACCTCCCATGGTCACTGTGGGGGGGGGGGGCATGCTTTGGCTTCTTACGAACCATGTCCAGGCCCTCCCCAGGCCCCTTCCCTCCGGCCTGCTCTCTCAGCCCACACCTGTCTCACCCGTTGGCTCCACCTGCTACCATCCCACCCTACCCCACCAGCCCGCCTCCCAGCTGCCCCTCCCCCATCTGTCCACCAAAGCACCCCATCTCAAACTTGATCCTTTCTGGAGGGAGCTGCCTCTGGTGGGGGAGACCTGGTATTGCCTAGAGCCTCTGAGAAGTGCCCCACTGGGCCTAGAGCAGCTCCATGCCTGCCTGCCTCTTCCTCAGATGCTTCTGGAAGCAAAGTGCCTATCAGCAGCATTGCATCCTCTGGGGACCCTGGTGAGGGGGGTGAACTTCCCTTGGCCACCACCACTAAAGGAATGTGCCAGAATGCCGAACCTTCTTATTAATGCTATGACCGTGCCTTGAATAAACAAGTCCTCCCAACCTCTGCTGGCCTGTGCCTCTGCATCTGGAATGGCCCAGCGGGGCCTTCCCTCCACCTGGAAGGAGCCGGAACTGCTAAGGGATGAACCTTCCTGAGGTTGCCAGGCTGGAGCATCACACCTTGCTTCGTGGCTTTAGGCCCTGGGGCCAGAGCTGCCCTTTCTGGGATCCCCTCACCCCTAAGCCTTCCCTGGTCCACGTTCTCACAGGGGAAGGCCTGGCAAGTGCTGCCTGGACTGCTGGAGAGATAGGAAGTGAATATGCCTCATTCTTTTGCTGTGGATGCTCTGAGAGCTCCATGAGCAGCAGGGGAGAACTTGCTAGTCTGTGAGCTACTCAGGAAGCCGTCGGGGCAGCCTCCCCTGGGCAGCAGAAGCCCCAGGGCGAGTGCTAGGCCCCAAGAGCAGGCCACTGGCCAGGCTAGCAGCTAGGATTGACAAGATGAAGACTTCAAGTGGAGGCCCCCAGAAAGAGAGGCAGGCAGGCCTCAGGTCTGCACCAGTCTCAGCCAGCAGCACGAGGGCTGGTGGTGGTCGAGGAGATGCTGGGATCAGGGGAGTATGGGGGGCTGCCAGGTCAAGCCTGGATGGGATAAGAAACACCCTCTAGCAAAGGCTAGTTATGTGTGCTGTTGCACTCGTGGCAAGGAGGAGAAAAATTCCCTACCCTGGGGGACACGTGTCCTGGCCTAGGAGACCGGGGTTCTGGCCTTCCTCTTGCCAGCTTCATGACCCTGGGCTGGTACCTCATCCAGAAAGTAAGGGTAGGAGGACATGAGGTCAACCACTCTGGCTTATTACTAACAGAGCAGATTCAGCTGCAGGGGGACAGAGGGAACAGGGGGTGTGGAAGGGGGAGCTTCCTCCCCCACTGCTCCCTGTGAGGACAGAGGACAATCTCAGGGGTGGGCTGCCCAAGAGCTGCTCCCCAGCCCCCCACGCCAGACCCTCTCTTCAGGCTTTCACAGTCCATCAGTGGGCATGGGTCCAGGACCCATCCCCTTGACCCCTCTGCCCTCAAAGCAATTATTTTCCAAGTCAAGTGAGATGAAATCCACGGGGGCTGCTTCAGAGGACAAAGAAGTATGAAGACCACCCTGGCTGGGTGGTGGGGGCTGTGCCCTGCTGCCTGGAAACAGGGGTGGGCTGATGGCTGCTGTAGGAACAGGGGCCTTTTCCTAGGATCCACGACCTCCTGCCACAACAGCTGCCGCGCAGGGTCTCTCCCAGGGGCCAGCAGTCTCCAGCGTCCCGCAGATCACAGGCCCTGGTCCATTCCTCAGTTCAGACCTCTCAGGGGACTTTGCTCAGCCAGAGAGAGAGATGTAGAAAGACAGATGGACAAAGAAGCTGAAGAGGGAGGGCTGCAGCCCCACACATGCGCAGTCCTGAAGGGAAGATGGGGTTGGTTGATCCTCTCTGTGCTCAGCAGGCCAAGAGGACTGGAGGCCTAGAAGGTGGATATACCTGGGCTGGGGGCGGGACTGGGGGACAGGCCAAGAGGAAGGCCTGGTGCCAGGGAAGCCCAGGATGCCGGCTTGATGGGGCTGTGCCCAAGAGGGCATTGGAGCACCGACTGACTGCCGTGCTGGGCTCCACAGGGCTGGGGAGGAAGGAGGAGGACCCTGGGCTCTAGGAGGCTCTGCCTGGAGGCCAAACCTGGGATGGCTGCGGGCACCTCCAGGGCTGGCTCCCTCCAAAGGCATCATGCTGGGGGAAGCTCATGCTGGCCCGACTCCAGGTTTCGAGTCCACTCTGTGGCAGGCCCCAGGGAGGCACAGGGGCGCCTGGCTTACGGGAAGGTAGTTCCAGACTTTCTCCACAGAGGCTGTTTTCTGAACATGTGATGGTTCCCCGGCCTCGACAACCAGCAGCCCAGCATCTCTCAAACCTCAGGTGCTGGGCTTCTCCATCCCAGCTGCAAATGAGAGTCTCCTGGGAGATTGTCAACAATCCCCATGTCCAGGACCCATCCCTGAACACACCAAAATTGCTGGGGTGGGTCCTGGCCAACCCCATTTTACAAAAGTCCGCAGGTGACTCTAGTCTGCAGGGAGGATTGAGTGGGCAAGGCTGTCAAGGCTAAGGAAACAACTGCTTCACGCCTCTGGAATGGGGGAAGCTTCAGCACTTCACACTCAGGTGTGAAGGCACCTGTGGCCCTGCAGCCTGTAAATAAGTACAAATCCACCGGCTGGGAAACGTCTCCTCCCTTTACTCCGCCTCCAGGGAGCTCAAATGTCAGGTGCCTGGTAGGTAATCAAAGGTTAGGCCCAAATGAACATTTGCCTTCTGGCTTATAAGGGATTAATACCAAGCACTGGCACCACTTCTGGTGCCATCATCTTACTCTGCAGTAAGTACTACTGTTTGGGCCAGAGAGACACACACGGGGCCTCAGGGGTCACTTCTGGCTACCTGATCACCTTCAGGAAGGATTTGAAGAATTTCCTCTTCCCTCCCCTCCAAACACAGGCTTTCACGTCAGCCCTCCCATTTCAAATGCAAGATTAAAAGTGCAATAAGCAAATTTATATAGTGGGATATCGGTAGGGATAAGCACTTTGAAGAAAACATAAAGCAGGATGGGGAGGAGGAGTGACTGGAGATGGGAGGACCCAGGACGAGCTCTGTGGGGATGAGCCATGTGAGCGCCTAGAAGCTGCATGAAGCCGGTGCGGGCGGTCAGGAGGGCCTGAGGGAACAAATGCAGGGCCGAGGATCAGCGAGGAGGACAGAGTGGCTGGGGCAGAGTGAGAGGGAAAGAGAGGAAGGAGGTGAGGTCTGAGAGGGCGACAGGGCTTTGTAGGCCACAGTTAGGACTCTGGGGTTTACTCAAGTGATATGAGAAGCTACTGGAGGATTCTGAGCAGGGGAGCAACATAATCCCCGTAGGTTCTGAAGCGATCACTCTAGCCACAGGGTGGGGAAAAGATGGAAGCAGAAAACCCCGCTGGGGCTCTGTTAGAGGCATCCAGGAGA